TTGGTAGTGGTTTTTTTAAAGGTGTTTGTGGCATAAATTTCTTTTCCATCCTGGAATTCAGAGAGAAGCTGCCAAATGATGATACCCTACTAACTGAGCAGTCGGTAGTTGGTCCTTTGGTTGCATATGATGCAGTAATTGTTTCAAGACGGGACTGATGGCAGCTAACTGAGGTGAATACTTACTAGTGAACTAATTCCAGTCTATACTAAAATATGAAAAACTTTATTTTAGTACGAAACGATTCCCTGGTTATGATTCTGAAAGCAAGGAATTTAATGCTGAAGTACACCGGAAGCACATCATGGGTCAGAATGTTGCAGATTATATGCGTTATCTGATGGAAGAAGATGAAGATGCTTACAAGAAACAGTTCTCTCAATACATAAAGAATAACGTTACTCCAGACATGGTAAAACATTTACCTAAAAATGCCTGTATTGGTTAATTTATCAACATGGGTTTACTGCTTGTTTTTGGGGGGGAGGGGTTTACATTGTTGTGTTAGATGTATTTCAGGTTGGCAGTTGAAAGGTGAATGGGCAAGTTTTGTAAGTATAGATAGGCTCACATAAGATATTCTTGGCTTAAATGAAATAAGGATGTTCTGGACGAGAATAGGTTAACTTACTGAGCTAGACTTGTCAGTATGGTTTTAGGAATCTTAGATGCTGAAGCCTGGCAGGCTTCAAGCATCTAAAGCCTTTGGTGCCTTTTGTTCTTTGGCCGTTCTGTATATTTAGATGTCATTGTTGTGGTCACAGTTGTAATCTGCTTCGCTTGAAATAAGGTGGTAGATGATTCACTAATTTTGATACCATGGGAGAGGAAAGTTCATAGTAAATATGTGCTACATTCTGGACTTCTGAATATCTCAGGCATGCACACAGAAAAGGTGAGATACGTATTTGATCACTGGTTCTGCATGATGTTACAGAAACAAGGAGGACTGTGTCTGCAAAAGTGAGTTTGGCTCACCCCTGTATTCCCAACACTTTGGAGTCAGGTGGGAGGCTCACTTGAGCCCAGGAATTTGAGGTTACAACGATCAGGACATTGCATTCTAGTTTGTGTGATAGAGTGAGACCCTGTGTCTTAAAAATAAAAAAGTGAGTGTAGTGTAATTTATTGGCCCTAGGGTTGGATCTCTGGGGCCACCTCTGTTAAGACATTGAAGCAATTGAAGGTTATAGTATCAATTTTGAAATTACAGTGAAAATGTGGAACACAAATCACATTAAAAAGTAATTGGGGAAAAGATCACTTTATTATTTGTCTGTTTTGGATACCATTCTAAGGCTGAGTAAACACATAGCTTGTGTTTTTGAGATAGGAAAGGAATTAAGGGTAGTTTTGTATCAGTAATGTAGATGCATGTTAATTTTTATTTGATTATATTTCTTTATGTTACTACTGACTTTCATGCTGGTAAACATAAACAGTTCTTTTACTTTTAGACTTTGATTCTACTTGGTCAAAACTTTTCAGACTCCCTTTCTGTGCTTTCAGATGTTTATTTCCTAGTGGTTTCCTGTATACAAGCTGTACTTCAGCCAGACTGCTTTTTGGTTAAAAGTAATTTTCTAGCTAGCTCATTTTTATCTACGGTGGCCTCTTTCCTCTTGTGTGCCTGCTGAAATCCTCTACAGACATCTGATACGTCTACAACAGGAAGTGGTCTTTACCTAAATTCATGGCTTTATCTACATATGTGGTTGTACTTCCTACTTGTCTGATGGCTTGGGAGGAACTTTGTTGCTTAGATTTGTTAAATACAGTGGATGGCTATAATAGCGTGTTAAAAGATGTAGAGAAATAAACTTTTTAAAGGGATTTAGGTAGTTGAGGTTTCAAATGCAGTGAACATTCTTGCATTATTTTCCTTTACTAAGCCTTATGCAAATGCATGCAGTAATCACTTTCTCCACATGGAATGAGTAATTTTAGAGACCTAGATTATCATAACATTCTTTAGGGCACTGTAATTGTTATTAGATATTCAAATTTGCAACCTTTTTTGATGAGTTTTAGAACAAAATTGCCCAATAAGATATCTAATCAAATAGCTTTTCAAGAAAAATTCAGACCACCCCCTGGTTCTAGAGGCATATTACTGCCAGATATTAGTGACTGGCGGTAGGGAAAGGTAGAAGAGATCCCTAGTACATAATACTGAGAAACGCTTTGAAAGACGTATCAGGCAAAGATGGAAAATGTAAATCTGGGGAATATGGATGACAAATTAATTTGGCAGTTGCTTCTTGGCCCCAGTGTCCAGTCCTTGGTCTTAACTAGGCAATGTCAGTGTTGTAACTGTCTTCATATCATATATTCTTCATCTTACTTAACATCTTAAATGCTTTTGTTTTGGCATGAATTGTCACTTGAATGAAAGCGTTTAGGCCAGACAGTGTTTTAAATAAGCAGTGCAGTGTGTGTTTCTGTAGAAGTAAATTTGCTTTAGAGTGACTTGAAGTATGGCTGAATTCCTCAGAAATACACACAGATTTTTCTTTAGTAAGACGGAGTTTTGAGTTGTGTGAATAGTGTCAATTCACATTGCATATGGTAAAAATTGGGAATTTGTTAGGAAAAGGTGGGTTATGTTTAGAAATTTTAAACACTTACCAAACATTGACTTAGTTTAGCTCCTTTTGAGAATCTGGCTTAGAGGGACAAAACAAAACAAGTAGTATAATAGTTACATTAATATAATAGGGCATATGAAATGAAACCAAGTACTGTTTGCTTTCCTTTGTTTCAGATGGAGGAGATGTATAAGAAAGCCCATGCTGCTATACGAGATAATCCAGTGTATGAGAAGAAGCCCAAGAAAGAAGTTAAGAAGAAGAGGTATGTGTCTTACTATTGTCTTTTCAAGAGAAACAAGTTGGGAGTGGTTCCCATACTGCTTCATCTGGTCTTTTCTAGTGGGTCAGACTCTCAGTGAAGTAGTGCAAACTCGATCACTAGCTCTGCCTGATGTGGGAGAAGCTAAGGGAACCAGGTTTGCTAAAGTAATTATGGTGATAGAAGTTATTAGCCTCAGACATTACTGAGGTTGCCCATTCTATCCTAGTACAGTATAAGTACCAGCTACTGCATTTTTTTTATTGGCTACCTTAAAAAAGTTGCTTTTTGTTGATCTTTCATGGTTTGATTTTTTTAATGGAATAGAAAATAATATTTAATGAACATCTAAAATTAAAAGCATAATTTTATGCTTTTAAATTTTTAGAACATTTTTATGTATTTTATTGTAAGTTGACAATTTATATAAATCTGTAGGGTACAAAGTGATGTTATAATTTGTGAATACAATGTTCAATGATGAAATCAAGCTAGTTAACACGTCCATCACCTAAAATACTTAACATTTCTTGTGGTGAGAACATTGGAAATTTACTCTCAGCTATTTTGAGATGTATAATACTCTCTATTATTAACTCTTCACCGCACTGTGCAATAGAACTAAAAAAAAAAAAATCATACTCTTCCTGCTTGAGATTTTGTCCAAGTGACTTTGACCATCTGCCCATTCTCCCCACCCCTCCCGCCTCGATAACCACCATTCTACTTTCTGCTTCTGTAAGTTCGATTGTGTTAGACTCCACAAATAAGTAAGATCATGTGATATTTTTCTGTCTGGCTTATTTCACTGAGTATATTGTTTTCCAGTTGCATCCGTGATGTCACAAATGACAGAATTTCATTCTTTTTAAAGGCTGAATCATATTGCATTTTGTATATATACCACATTTCCTTTATCCAATCATCTGTCGCTGTTATGAGTAGTGTTGCAGTGAACGGGGGAGTGCAGATCTCTTCAACAAATGGATTTCAGATCTTTTGGGTAAATCCCAGAAGTGGGATTGCTGGATCTAACATGTTTTTATTTGATTTTTGGTCCTGTGGGGTAATAGGACATCATAGTAGTTGGGGTTTGAGAAAGTTAGCTTAAGCTCATAAAATAAGTACATATGTTAGAACTTGGATTATTTAACCTCCATCTGATTACAAAGTTTCTCTATTCTCTTTAGTTACGGTTTTGAAAAATATATTCCTGTCTTCTTTGTTTTGTAGATGGAACCGTCCCAAAATGTCCCTTGCCCAGAAGAAAGATCGGGTAGCTCAAAAGAAGGCAAGCTTCCTCAGAGCTCAGGAGCGGGCTGCTGAAAGCTAAACCAAACAGCAATTTTTTATGAGGATTTTCAATGTAAAGACAATAAACTTATTGAATAAGCAGCTATTTCTGTGTCAAGCTCTTGTTGTTATGGAACTATAGGAAATATCCTAAAGTATTTTATAAAAGCAAAGGAGTTCGCAGGTTTTTTCTACAAGAAAACAAGGGTAGCTTTTTTCAGAAAAAGTTGTCTTGCATGTTACCAACACAGTTCACACATGCTTGGGCTTCTATTTTCCCTGATAGGAGTTGTTACCCCTCATGTTTATGCTGTGCAGCTCTCCCTAAAAATCGGGTAAGCAACAGACCAACCATTACTAGGAGATACTTCATCTGTCCGTTTATTACAACCAGATGGTTAGTGGGAAGAGAAAGTACCGTCAAAGTATAGTCTTAAATAAAACTGGTGCTGATGCATGGCTTTAATTTTTGAGAGAAAGCTGTCTGGTGAAGGTCACATAGATTTAACGCATTGACTGCCACACTAGGAAAAAATTTCCCTGGGGCCAGGGTATTTTATTATAAAAATAGAATAAAAATTTCAAAGACAAAACTATCCTTTCTAATTTAATGAAAAATTTGTCATTTTTTATTGTCTATGCATGAGTTATATGCAACTCAGGCGGCACTAGAATTAATTTTTACACTGCTTGCCACTTGAGTTGTATGTGACTCATGACATACTTAATTTGGGAGACTTGAGTCTTACGCTTCACAAGGCCCTGGCCTGAAAACTAGCATGAGTTAAATACAACTCACATGGCAGTTGATGTGTTAACCAGGTGAAACCTTTGAGCAGAAAATACTGGGGCTTTTCTCCAAAAGGTGGTGTTTCATTTTATGTAGATATCGAAAGGTAAATGCCACATCTGAGTACACAAGTGAAAATAACAGGAGCACATAATCTGGTATATCAAGTATACAGGGGAAAAAGTGTTAGATTAATACATTTAACATGCCTCTTTAAGAAATAGCCCTTTGGTCCACAGGAAATAACTTTGAAAGTGGAAAATTACTACTAAAAAGTTTTTAATAATTTTTGTCTTGCTCCTTTCAGTCCCACTTTCTGCATAACTCAAATTCAAGCTATATGGATCTGGATTGGGTCTATAGCCTTCAGATGTCAGTTTTGAAGGGCTCAGTTGGCTGGTTGATACTAAGATGGACCTTTTCAATCTACAGGATAATTGAAAGTTCAGTTTCAACCACTAAAATTGTTAATTGTGTATTGTCTTAGAATATTCTGAAGCTCTCCACATTTTGATGTCTGGGGTTAATGATCAATAAGTGTAAATCTATAATACAATAAACCATGCTATTAACCCATCTGTTTATAAAGGAGTAATTTTAATTAACCTGCTTTGCAGTCTTAATTTGTTAATGTGCAAACTTCACCATGCTAAGACATTAGTAAATTTATAAATTTTCTTTAAACAGCAGCTTCAATGCAAACACAATGTTTCCAGCAATGGTATTTTGGCTAACATAAGTCTACAAATCACTCTCACTGTTGATGTTTATGGAATGAGGCTTTTCACAGTATTATTTTAAGTCATTAGTGAAAATAATTATACAGTGAATGTACTTGGAAAATGTAACAGGGCTTCTAAAAGGGCAGGAATGGAATCTTTTGGATCTGTAGATCCTGTCCTCTTGCCATTACTTCAGTAATCACATGTATTTAAGATGATGGCTTCTCAGGTCCAGTGGAGGGGAGTTTTGTGTAACTGGTAGGGATGTGACTCAGAAGCCATTTTTTTAAAATGCTCAAAATTGTTCTTTAAAAGTGGTAAGTTTCTTGCAATGTTACAATGTCCAAATGAACTAAGAGTCATTTGTGTAGGAAATTTTCTTCCACAATAATGTTTTTAGGTTATTTAGTATCAAAGAATGTTCCATTTCCATTTGATTTGCTGTGACTTTGAGAGCAATACAAGAATAAAGCTGCTTTTCTAATTCTTCACGAATTTCACTTGGAGCACCACGCAGCAGGTAGTCTTTGAGTAACTGACAGGCTTTTGCCAAGTTTGGTTGTATCACTTCTGAAGTACACTTCATTGTACTCTGATCACAGCTAGTTCTACAATCCGTGCCATAGACACAGTCCAAATCAGACTCACAGTGACGATCCTTAATAAGTTCTTTCAGGTTTGTCTCTGGCACAATTTTTCTCATATCCACCATTTTCAAATCATACTTATCATTATATCCTAGGTTTTTGGCACTAGTATCACACATGAGGAAATTTCCATAGGGGCCATGGAAAACGTCTTCCACAAATTCTAAAAGTCCTATGGCTATTTTAGCCTTTCTAGGCCATGACGGTGTGAACAACTGATCCATGCTTCTTCTGAACCCAGATGGAATAAAAAGTTCAATGACCCATGGAAGGCTTATTCCATAAAGAGAGGTATATTCAACACTTTCCATCACATAGAGATCACCACAGAATCCCATTAATTTGGGGGTATGTTCTTTATCTTGAAGTATCACCATGAGAAGAAATTCATTTAGTTGAAGAAGTGCCCATGCTGACTTTGCTTCTCCCAAGGAAACCTGGCCATCTTTGTCTCCATCAGCCACTGTCAAGATGAGATTAACTAGTTCAGAGAGGTTTCCTTGGTCACCCAACTTTGCCTGTCAAGATAAGAATTTGGCTAATTATACAGAATGAAAAACAAGTTTATCTCCTATGTAACATACTTTATAAGTTCCTTTATAGGCATTATTACCATGCTAGGAATCATCTTGCTACTGAATCCTCATAAAGGAACCTAACATGTTACATCTAAATATTTATGACCCTTCCTAAACTAATTAGAACCATGTTTTGTAACTGCAGTAAAACCCACTTTAAATATATTTGTTAATTAAAATATAAATGGCCACTCTTAACTCCCCTAGCCCCTTCAAATCTTGTAGATAGTTAACCAGCACACCAAGTAATTATTCCTCTTCTTCATACATTTACTTGCAAAAGCACATTGTAATATACTTACATCAAAGTTATAATAAGGGTCAATAGAAAATTATTGTCTCCTATTTTGTATTTATCACACTAACAGAATTATTTTGTTCAAGTAGTATCATTCCAACAATGGAGGTTAAAAAGTATTTCCCTGTTAAGGTTCCCTGGGATAAAATAGTCTGAAATGCATAATGCATGTAAAATGGCCAAAGAAAAAGATTTTGAATGAAAATAAAAGAGCAATAAAAAATGAAAAAATAGCCCAGGCATAGTGGCTCATGCCTGTAATCCCAGCATTTTAGGAGGCCAAGGTGAGATGATCACTTGAGCCCAGGAGTTCAAGACCAGCCTGGGCAACATAGTGAGATCCTCATCTCTACAAAAAATAAAATAATTAGCTGGGCATTGTGGCATGCATGTGCAATCCCTGCTACTGGGGAGGTTGAGGCAGGAGGATTACTTCAGCCTGGGAGTTGGAGGTTGCACTGAGCTATGATCATGCCACTGCACTCCAGCTTGGGCAAGAAAGTGAGACCCTTTTTGACATTCCAATTTTTTTTCAGGAAAAAAAAAGGAACCTGTCACAAAAACTTTAAAAATTTAAAAACCAAGAAAACCTCTTCCCTAAACTATTTTCATTTTTGTATATTTCTATTTATATAAGTATTTCTTTAAATTAAAAAAATAATTTGCAATCAGGGTACTAATTTTTTTGTTTTAGAATAGGAGGAACTGCTATCCTTTTTCTCCTATTATTTTTAGTTGACATGTAATAATTGTACAAACTTATGGGATACAGAGTGATTATTTCAATATATGTATACAATGTGTAATGATCAAATCAGGGTATTTAGCATATCTATCACCTCAAACATTTATCATTTCTTTGTGTTGTGAACATTCAAAATCCTCTCTTCTAGCTTTTTGAAAATACACAATAGATTATTGTTAATCATATTTGCCCTACAATGCTATAGAATACTAGAGGAATCTCCTATCTAGATGTACTTTTGTAACTGTTAACCAATTTCTCCAGATCCTCTTCCCTCTACTCTTCCCAGCCTCTAATAACCATAATTCTAGGAGTGTATTAACTTTACTTCACCTTTTATGTATCAGTTTTGTTTTTTTCTTAACAGACACATGCAGAGAGTATGTATCAGTTTTTGTTTGTTTGAGACAGTTTTACTTGTCACCTGGCTAGAGTGCAGTGGTGTCATCATAGCTCACTGCAACCTCAAACTCCTTGGTGATCCTCCTGCCTCAGCTTCCTGAGTAGCTGGGACTACAGGCGTGCACCACCATGCCTGGCTAATTTTTTTAGTAGAGATTCAGGCTGGTCTTAAACTGCTGACCTCAAGCTGTCCTCCTGCCTCGGCCTCCCAGAGTGCTAGGATTACAAGCATAAGCCACCTCGCCTGGCCAAGTATGTGTCAGTTTTCACGTCAAACTTTTCAACTAGTTAATGAACTCCCCCCTTGTATTTGGAAATTTTAATCTAACATAAATAATGTTAAAGTAAACATTCTCCAACATGTATTTTTTTTTCTTTTCTTTGAATTATTTCCTCAGGAAGGAGTCCCTGATAGAGGTCAAAGAATATCAACACGTTAACAGCTTAGGATGAGGTCCTGCCAATTCCTCTGAAAGAATATTGTTTCACACTAACAAATCAATAGACAGACTTACCTTAAAGAGACTGTACACCATTTCTTTGAATTTCTGTACAGTAGTTCCCCTAGTTGGCTTATCAAACAGCACTATTTCTTTTCTTGGTTCCAGTTCAGTTCCAAAATCAAGATGAAGTGCTTGTTCCATTTGACATTTCACAACACCTGGTAGATTATCCCAAATCCCTAAATACATCTATGTGGAAAAGAACAAGTTATCTATTATACTAAGTAGAAAACTCTCAAAAATATACCACCATATTTTTAGGGTCCTCCTCTCCTAAAAAAGCAAAACAAAACACAAACAAGCATCAGAACATTGACATCGAGCTGTGACTTTATTTTTGAACTGCAAATTTGAAACCATATTCCAAAGATTTTTTTCCTTAAACTAATTTTTTAAATTACAAAAGTAATGCAAGCCTAAATATATATTTTTAAAAATCAAATTGGAAGGATGTAAGGTAAAAGCAAAGTTCCTACACATTCCATTTCCTTAATCTCATTTCCCCAGAATTAATCATTAAGTATCTAGCTATTTATCAAACTAATATTACATAGTGTTTAATATGTCCTATGGTCTACTAATTTATTTTATTATTTTAATCCTTGTACCAACCCTAGTGGTAGGTACTATTATCCTTATTTCACTGATGGAGAAACTGAAGCAGAGACAGGTGAAGTAACATGCCTAAAAGAGCTCACCATCTTAACCATCAGGATAGGCTGCCCCTCTTACTTCTATATAAAAACCAAATGGGATCATGTTAATTAATAATATTAATCCAAACAAAGCAGATTATATCACTCACTTGTTCCAAGCCTTCCTAATAAATCCCAATTCAATCAGAAAAAAGTCCAAAGTTCTTTCCATTGCTTGTTAGGCTCCATTTGAGCTGGCTTTGCCACCTTCTCCAGCCTGATCTGGTACCACTTACTCCCTGGTTCCTAAGTCCCAGCTACACTGGTCTTTCTGTTCTTTGAACATACCACACCAGTTCCTGTTTCACAGCCTGCTTCACTTGCTGTTGGTTCTGCCTGGAATGTCCCTTCCCAGATCCTCACGTAGCTGGCTCCTTTACATCATTCAAGTCTCAGATCAGATGTCACCCTTAGAAAGGCCTTCCCCAACTCCTACCCGAAATAGATCCTCTTCCAACTGCAGGTCACCTCTAATCCATTACCCTGTTTTATTATCCTCACAGCCTTTAGCACTGTTTGAAATTATCATATTTATGTATTTATCAACTCCTTATTACCTGTCTTCTCTCACATTAGAACGTAGGCACGTGAGGCCAGAGGCTTCATCTGCCTCACTGTCCACGCTCTCTCCCAATGCTCAGCAGTGCCTGGCATGCAGTACGCACTCGTATGTTGGACTCTGTTTCAGAAATCCTCTTAACCATGATTAGTATTGTCAACTTAAAAATTATTTTAAATTTCTGTAAGAGTAACACATATTTATATTGGAAAATATAGAAATTATAAAATGAACATAAAAATGCAATTTTCCACTGCCCAAGGATGTTTTGTTGTATTTTCTTCTAGTCCAATGGTATCCTAGTGTTTTATTTCTTTGATGAAAGGTAGAATTTTTTTTCATTATGTTTATCTGCTGTTTGTAGTTCTTCTTTTGTGATTTAGCTCATCCTGTCCTTTGCCCATGCTTGTAGATTAATTCTTCATTCCGGTATGAACTCAAATGTTATCTTAGATCTCAGAAAGGTCTTCCCTGATCACCTCCTCTAACGCACATCCCTACCATCGCTGACCCTGCATTCTCTATCAATTTACCCTATGTATCTCCTCTACAGAACACACCATGTTCTATAATTTTTTTTTATTTATCTATCAATTGTTTGTGCCTCCCATCCCACTGAGATAATATAAAGTCCACAAGGGAAGTTATCTTGCTAATCACCATTGCATTCCTAGTAAATAAAACAGTGTTAGGAATATACTGTCAATAGGGTATTAATAAATATCTGTTGAATGAATAAAGCAAAGCATACAAAACTGAAATACATATAATGTCCCATCAACGCCTTGAACTCTGGTTCAAGAATTCTTTTAACAATGCCTTTAACTTAAGGTAAAATTAGAGTATGCAGTAATTCTGGAATGTTTATTTATAATGTCCATACCTGATTGTTGGGCTTGGTGGATAAGCATTTTCCAAAATAAAGAGTTTCTGTAACACAGAGGCTATTACATGCAGGCCCATCAATAACTCCAGTCTTGTACTTGTCACACTAAAAAAACAGGAAATAAAAAAGTAGTTAATATAAAGATGTTCATGAGAAGAAACATAAGAAAGACACCATAAAGAGATATCTATGTCCTTTAAGAGAAATTCTATAACGAAAAGAACTCAGGCTTTGGATTTAGACAGACATGAATTTGAATCCAGCTCTGTTACTTACTAGCTATATGATGATGAGAAAGCTTGTTGCTACTGGGGTGTACAAAGAGTTCTGAAACTATTTTTCCTACTTAACATGGTCTGAGCTGGTATGGTACCTACTCCCTCCAAGAATAGAAGCACTCTATGTATGTATGTATGTATTTATTTATTTATGAATGAGACAGAGTCTCACTCTGTCACCCTGGGTAGAGTGCTGTGGCGTCAGCCTAGCTCACAGCCCTCCTGGGCTCAAGCGATCCTCCTGCCTCAGCCTTCCAAGTAGCTGGGACTACAGGTGAGTGCTACCACACCTGGCTCATTTTTTCTATTTTTAGTTGCCCGGCTAATTTTTTTTTTTGTCTGTTTTTAGTTAGAGACGGGGTCTCTCTCTTGCTCAGGCTGGTCTCGAACTCCTGACCTCAAGTGATCCTCCCATCTCGGCCTCCCAGAGTGCTAGCATTACAGGGGTGAGCCATTGCACCCGGCCGTTTTGCTTTAAAATGGCTCTGATTTTAAAATAAATAAGGTTTAAAATAACAAAATAATTTAATGTAACAAAAAAAGTTACCTCTGTCATCTTGTCATCCTTGAGATCAACCAATGAGAATGAAAATAAGACAAAAACCCACACAAACTCTACCTTTGATAAAAAATAAGGTATCAATGTAACCCTAGGCCCAAGAATGAGGATGACCTGCCAAAATCAGTGACCATTACACCAGAGCCCAGAAATATGCTGAGATTAAAGACTTGCTGTAGCCTCAGTTCTCAAAGTTGGCAGGGCACCAAATGAGGGGTATATCTGAGGTGCAGAACCATTACCCTGGTTTGCAACAAAGGTTTAAGGGATACAAGCTGTGGGAACTCTCTAGGACTCTATTTGGCACCATGAAGTAGTAGGACAAGGCAGGGTGAATGATAAAATCCTTAAAAATGTTGTCTTTGCTGGAGGCATCTGCTGATGAACTAGGGTTGGGAGAGACGATGTTATGAACAGCCTTGTAGTTGCTGAGAAGATACACAGCTCAACCAATTTATATGTGTCTGTCTCTCTGTTTCACTTATTTTTTCTCTCCCCTGACCCCCACACACAGCCACAGGCAGCTTTACTATCAGCTCAGCTCACTGCCCAGTTGCTTCCTGCAAATGGCTGGTTGAGGAAGAACTCATTGCATTCAGTAATGAGTAATACTCAAAAGAAAACAAGGAGAAGATCCATACATCAAGTCTTCAAGAATTAGGAGGAAAGGAATAGAAAAAGTATATTTCAAATAAAGAAATTTTCCAGAAAAACGTTGCCATGAAGCATACCAAACATATTGCTATGAATTTAAAGGACTTACTCGAATAGTTTAAAATTCAGAAAGGAAGAAAAATTTAAAAATCCTAGAAATGAAAGCCACGTTTCAAATGGGGGTGAAAGGTGGATGGGATAAAGCCCAAGACTTATGAGGACTAGATTGAGAAAAGTGAGCAAAATGAAATGGAAATTTTAAAATAATTAAAATGAATTTGAGATAAATTTATAGATACAAGAGACAAAAGATATCCAGCAGGTCCATATGAGGGAGAATGGGAATAAGTGGCAAAGAAAAAATACAAACTTCATATAAATGAAAGAACACTTTACAGATTGAAAAGATACACAACATCCTAAGAAAAACTGGTATGTCTTGTGACACGTCCCATTGAAGTTTGCTGGACTTCAAAAATAAATAATCCTTTGAGCACCCAGGCAAAAATATCAAGGCACCTTTAAGGGGTAACAAATCAGACTGGGCCCAGATTTCTCCACAGTCACATGCAGTAGTAGACAACAGTGGTAGGTACAACGCCAGCAAAGGCTGTAGGGAAAGAAGTGTGACTTGTCTGTGTACTAATTGTCTCACCTGTAAGAAGGGAAGTTAACAGTACTTGATTTATGACATCATTATGAGGATTAAATGGTATAATAAGTATCAATCATCTGTGACTCTAATAAGTGTTCAATAATAGCGATTTTTATTTTACATAGCCTTTAACTTAAGGCAAAATTAGAGTATGCTGTAATTCTGGAATGTTTTTTATAATGTCCATACCTGATTGTTGGGCTTGATGGATAAGCATTTTCTGAAGTAAAGTTTCTGTAACTTCAAGTAGAAGGCATCAAATGTTTTTGAACATACGAGGTTCAGAAAATATAATTCCCATTAGTATCTCTTGAATAAATTATTAGAGAATAAATTTCAGCCAACCAAAAGATGGATGGAGAAACTGCACATGAAAGCCAGCTGAAATGCAGACTGGATGAAAACAGCTCAGGGAATTGAATGCATAATAATTTTTAATACAGTACCTGACAGTTACTGGATGCTTACTATGTGTCAGGCACCTTTCCTAGTGCTATATATTTATTATCACGACAATAACCCTATGAAGTAGAACCTATTGTTATATCCATTACAAAGATAAGGAAACAGAAATATCTGTTAAGTAACTTGTTCACAACTATAAAATGATGAAGCAAGGATTCAAACCCCAGCAGTCTGGCTCCAGAGCCCATTCTCTAAATCACTATTGTATATCGTTCAGAATGGCATGGGCTCCTAAGACCTGCCCACTGAGCCCTCTTATCAACACTTCTTACAGTTTGCTGTGAGAATAAGAGTAGCCCTGATAGAGAACAAAAGCCCTCTGCCAGAGGCTGTGGCTCATGCCTGTAATCCTAACACTGGGAGGATTGCTTGAGGCCAGGAGTTCGAGACCAGCCTGAGCAAGATCAAATAGAAAAATTAGCTGTTAGCTGGGCATGGTAGCATGTCTGTAGTCCCAGTTACTTGGGAGGGGGAGGCAGGGGGATCGCTTGAACCCAGAGTTTGAGGTTGCAGTGAGCTATAATGATGCTGATGTACTCTAACCTGGGCAACAGAGCAAGAACCTGTCTCAAAAAAAAAAAAAAAGAGCCCTGCAATGTGTCAACACCTAGGAGCTGTTTAGGAGCCCCTGCCTTTCAGCTACCAAGAGCAGGGAAGTTCCTCCACAGGCCCTTGACCATGACCTGCTTTCTCCTTTGGATCTGGCTATAACTAAGAATATTAGGTTTCATCTTCAGAGGAGCAGTGGAGCAATCTAGTTCCTGGACTCAAGTTTGGGGGGCCACATGGAGAGATGCTCCTTTTTCCCATCTGGTCGACCCCTGGGGATTTTTTTAGGAAGTGCAGAACCATCTGTTGGGCATATCTGCTTGGTAAGAGATGGCAAGCAATTTCATTGGCATGTTTCTTCACTGATGCAAACATGGTGTGGGTTTTGAGGCCTCACTCAGGAGCTTGAGTGAAACCTCCTGCAGGCATAGTTTAGGGTTTCCAAGGAATTTAAATCGTATAGGCCACATTCTCTGACAATCAATCAATAGATAGATAAATAAATGAATGAAAAAAAGGTTGAAAACCCATAGCTCAAATATGGTCTACTATAAAAGAAAAGAGAACATAAAATTGCTGAAAAACTGTAAAGGCAAAAAGAAAAAAAAAGTAAACAGTAAAAACAAACATATGTTTGGAAACTAAAAAGCATATTTCTAAATAACTTGTAAGTTAAAATAGAAACCACAATGGAAATGCAGAATATTTAGAACTGAATGATAACAAAGGTTACATATCAAAACTTGTGGGAGGCAGCAAAAGCAGTTCTTGGAGGAAAATTTACAGAAATTGCCAAATTTAAATGTGATGATGAAAAAATGAGACTGAATATAAATAAGTAAGCACTCAACTAAAGATGCTTAAAAAAATCCAAAAATAACGACAACACAGTAAACTTCCAAAATAAGTAGAAGAAATAAATGCAGCAATTAATGAAAAAAAATCAACAATAACAAAAGCTAATTCTTTGAAAACTCAAACAAAAAGATAAACCTTTTTGCAAGACTGATCATGAGAAAAAGAGAGAAGGCATAAATAAACATTGTTAGGAAGGAAAAGGGTAGTGATAGTGAAAAAGAGAAACAACTTTATGGTAATACATTTGAAAGGAACAATTTTTGTAGAAAAATATAAATTAAAAAATCATGCAAGAAGAAATAGAAAAGCTAAATAAGACTAGCAAGTATTTTAAAAAATTGAATTAGTACCCAAAAATCTTTCCCTCCAAAGAAAACAGGCCAAGGTAAAGTCCAGGGAGGACCTCAGGATGCCATCTAGGATGTTGTACTGTTTGTAAGAGAGGAACATGGATAATAACGTAAATGCCCATCAATAGGAGGATGGTTGAATAAATTCTGGTATATTCAGACAATGAAATACTATACAATAATTAAAATGAAAGAACTAGGTCCATATATATCAACATGAAAATATCTTAAAAGCATAATGTTAAGTGGAAAAAGCTGCAGAATGATATGGGTAGTATTTTATTTTATTATTTAATTTCATTTCATCTCATTTTATTTTATTTTTTTATTTTATTTTTTGAGACAAAGTCTCACTCTGTTGCCTGGGCTAGAGTGCCATGGCGTCAGCCTAGCTCACAGCAACCTCACACTCCTGGGCTCAAGCAATCCTCCTGCCTCAGCCTCATAAGGACCTGGGACTACAGGCGCATGCCACCACACACAGCTAATTTTTTCTCCCTATGGAATAGGTATCACCATTATCTCCATTTTATTGATCAAGCAACCGAGGCAAGGGAGGTTAAGAAACTTGCAGAACAGGTAAATGGTGGAGCTGGAATCTGAGTCCAGACAGTCTCCAGAGCCTGTCCTTTAACCAGTAAGGTAAAAGAACTAGAATTACTTATGTTGGAATGGAACAGGCAGAACAGGTTTAATAATGGCTGGCCAGACACCTCTTCCCAGTGTTCCCACTAAAG